TCCGGGACCGGGACCGCTGTCACGCCCGGAGCCAGCCCGCGGCGGCGTCACTCACCGGCTCGCTCCCGGACCCGCTGGGTTTGCAAACGCCAGCTCCCGCCCCGCCTCTCACACTTTACCGCCTCCCCCGGTGCCCTGCCGCAGCCAGGACGCGCCTGCGCCACCACGAACAGCGCCCCCTGCTGCGTGGGAGTCGGGGCCGGACTTGCTGAGCGGCTGTGTGGAGCCACGTCTCTCTGCTCAGGGCCAGGAGGCCAGTCGCTACTCCTCGGGAGACCCCTGTACACAGGATCCTCCCTCCCCCCCACAACGCAGAGGACCCCTTCCCTCTCGACCCACATAAATCCCACACAGAGCCAGACAAGGCTACTGCACACAAATACTCCATATAGTGGACCCCTTTCCCCCGCTCCCACACAGTGACCCTGTACCCAGACATCCCATAGAGAGGACCCCTTCCTCCTCCCCCCACATAAATCCCACTCACAGGCATCCCATACACAGAGGACCCCCTCCCCACATACTGTACAGACATCCTATACACAGAGGAGCCCTTCCTGCCAACATACACAAGGATCCCCCACACAGATATTTCATACATACTCCTGGCCTCTTCCCACCACATGCATACAAGTGATTCCTCCCACAGACACCCCATACAGAGGACCCCATCATCCCTCCCCACACAGAGAGAGAGAGAGAGAGATCACATACACAGAGAACCCTCCTTTCCCTCAAATGTAGAGGGCCACACACAGAAGTCCATACCTACTGGGATTCCCCATAGGCATAGAATCTCCCCTCCTCCCTCCTCACACAGACTTCATAGACAGAGCGCTCAATCATCAGTAAAATTACTTTAATTTAAAATGAAAGGTATCCCCACAGTGTAAAAGTTGGGAGGAAAATGGTCAGAAAAAAAAAACGTAGCCAGATAGTTTTGTTGGTGACACTGGGCAACATACTAGGTAACTCGGGAGGGTGGAAGGCCACAAGTGCCGAGGAAGCCCCCCCCGCGCTAGGCCCAGACAAACCAAACCCTCTCCATTCCGTGAACTTTCTGTAATCATGCCAGACTATGAGGAAGCTAGTATAAAAACAGAGACAGAAAGCTGCAAAAACAGTTTAGAGCAGACAGCCTGCTCTCAGAGACAGCCTTCAGACAGCTCCAGCCAGGGTAAGCATATAGATAAGAAAGGAATGTTTTGCAGTAGCTTTCTGCAATACAGGAACAGATACAACCAAATAAGGCAGGGCTTACATAATGCTAATGAGGAAACATCTAATTGGCCGCTTTGGCTGTATTATTGTATAGGGCAATAGGTAATTGGTTGTATATGCTTCTGTAGCTAAGTTAGGAAAAAAGGTATAAATTGTATGATGTAATCTGCAGTCGGGGCTGCAGGATTTGAGGCAGCTGTGTCTCCCTGGGCCTGTTTACAGCTGCAAATAAACTCTCTGCTTCTCCACCCCATTGTGATTATTGGGTGACGCACACCGGGCAACGAACCCCTACTGTTGCTTGCCTTGGGCACTCTGTGCCGGCAACAGTTTGATGGAATATCATCTTTCTGAGAAGTTTGTCCCCATCCAGTACTGGGACAAAACCAGATGGAACCTCACAAGCACCATGTGTACAAGGTCATGTGGGCAGGGGTGGGGTGGTGTACTCTTAAAGATGGCACCCCTCTGTAGTGCTCACCAGTATGGTGGGCCTATGTCATTACAGAAGTACCAGAATGACTGATATTCTTGGAACACCTGAGCAGTCACCTTACTTGGAGCACATCATGGGGAATATGCAGGATGAGCAACTTCATGCACTGGCTGACTGTATTCCAAAAGGTCTTGGAGTCTGGTGATACAAGTCAGGTCTGTCTGCCTGTCATAAATATAAAGGGAAGGGTAAACTAAAATCCCCCCTGGCCAGAGGAAAAATCCGCTCACCTGTAAAAGGTTAAGAAGCTAAAGGTAACCTCGCTGGCACCTGACCAAAATGACCAATGAGGAGACAAGATACTTTCAAAAGCTGGGAGGAGGGAGAGAAACAAAGGGTCTGTGTCTGTCTGTATGCTACTTTTGCCAGGGATAGAACAGGAATGGAGTCTTAGAACTTTAGTAAGTAATCTAGCTAGGTATGTGTTAGATTATGATTTCATTAAATGGCTGAAAAAAGAGTTGTGCTGAATAGAATGACTATTCCTGTCTGTATGTCTTTTTTTGTAACTTAAGGTTTCCCATAGAGAGGGATTCTCTATGTTTTGAATCTAATTACCCTGTAAGGTATCTACCAACCTGATTTTACAGAGGTGATTCCTTTACTTCTATTAAAAGTCTTCTTGTAAGAAAACTAAATGCTTTTTCATTGTTCTAAGATCCAAGGGTTTGGGTCTGTGGTCACCTATGAAAATTGGTGAGGATTTTTACCAAACCTTCCCCAGGAAGTGGGGTGTAAGGGTTGGGAGGATTTTCGGGGGGAAAGATGTGTCCAAACTACGTTTCCCAGTAAACCCAGTTAGAGTTTGGTGGTGGCAGTGGATATTCCAAGGACAAAGGATAAAATTAATTTGTACCTTGGGAAGTTTTAACCTAAGCTGCTAAAAGTAAGCTTAGGAGGTTTTCATGCAGGTCCCCACATCTGTACCCTAGAGTTCAGAGTGGGGAAGGAACTTTGACACTGCCAATGCACCAAAGGGGACTCCACCACCTGCACACGAAACTATGGATTGTGAAGTAAAAGTTCTGTTGGAAGGTCTTTTTTCCCCCTCAGCGTCTATTACAGACCTGATTTCTGAGACCAGCTTCCAGATCCTGAGGGGGTTCTGGTAAAAGAATGTCAGCTCAGAGTGGGCTTTGGGGCCACCCCTTGGGTGGAAATAAAAGAACTGCCTATTGTATTGGAGCCCTTGGAAGTGGGAGAGGAAGACATGTGACAGCATATTCCATGCTGGACAAAGTCCTCTGGGTAAGGGCTATGTCTATTTGTAAAATGTCATGCACAGCTAGATCCTAATCACACAGTGGGGTCTCTGCACATGGGACTTACTGCTCATGGAAAGCCTGAGTTAATAAAATGGGACATGATGAAAATGCAAATGTCTGGTTGTGAGCATCTGATTGCAGAATCAGAGTCCTACAGTGCATCCGTATAAGGTTCCAATCCTGCTTCTGCATCCACGTGGGAGGACTCCTGTGCCCAGGCAGAGCTCCACTGATTTCTACAGGGTCATTCTGCATTAATTCAGTTACTGGATTGGGGTTTAAGGCTGTAAAATAAAGTTTGACAACAAAATTAAATTTATTTAATGTTATGATTCATGTTACTTATTTCTGTCTCTCATATTTTATGAATTTTTGGGCCCTTGAGATGAGATATAGGAAGGGAGGGATGGGAGAGTCTCCACTCTCCATGTCATATGGAAACAATATTTGCAGGAGAAGCTCTTTCAGTGTAAAGAGTGGAAGTAGAGAGGCCAATCTGACAAAAAAATATTGACGAAGTTCTCATTCTTGATTTTTACTCCTACTTCCTTTTTTATAACAAACTGCAAGCACAACCCCCCCCCCCCATAAATCACAATTGTGAAAACACTGCAATGAGAGTTGATTTACAAATGTTTTGTGATGGGCATAATTTTTCTGTTCATTGTCAGAAAGGTCCGTGATTACTATGCCTCCCCTTCTGCAGTCACATACCTGTGATCATTCTAGAACAGAGATTATTAATAAGATAGTTGTGGATGGGTTATTACCTGCTCTCCTGCTGGTAATAGCTCACCTTATCTGATCACTCTCATTACAGTGTGTATGGTAACACCCATTGTTTCATGTTCTCTGTGTGTATATATATCTTCCCACTGTATTTTTCACTGAATGCATCCGATGAAGTGAGCTGTAGCTCACAAAAGCTTATGCTCAAATAAATTTGTTAGTCTCTAAGGTGCCCCAAGTCCTCCTTTTCTTTTTGCGGATACAGACTAACACAACTGCTACTCTGATTCCTCCTTCAGTTACTTTCACCCCATGCAGGTTACACCTCTCCAAGCAACTTAAATTCATGGGATAAGTGAAGTAGCTGCATCCCTCAATACTGCCAACTGCACGAGCATTCAAAACTCATGACTTGCTCCCTACAAATCATGAGACTGGCTTAAAAATCATATTTCAAAAAAATTGCGAGGGATTCTCTTATCTTCTGGATTTTGATCCTTTAGGATCTGCGTGGGTCATCTTTTCAACCTTTTCTTCACAACGAGGAGGGTAAGAATGTACTTTTTAAAAACGAAAGCTGAGCTTCTCACGCAATCCCATTTCAGGAGCTGGGGCTTTACCTAAAGGCATGTCTACACTACTGGCTAGATCAATGGGCAGCGATCAATCCAGTGGGGTTCAATTTATCGTGTCTAGTATAGCCGTGATAAATCGATTACCAATCACTCTAGTGTGGACTCTGGTACTCCACCTCAATGAGAAGCCCAAGGGGAATTGATGGGAGAGCGTCTCCCATTGACACACCACAACGAAGACACTGGGGTAAGTAGATCTAAGTACGTCGACTTCAGCTATGTTATTCATGTAGCTGAAGTTGTGTAATTTAGATGGATCTCCTCTCCCCTCCCCACGTAGTGTAGACCAGCCCTAAGACACCAAATACCAAGAGACTCACGATAAAATTGTGAGATTTAGCAACTCTTGCCCCCGGGCCCTATCTCTTACTTTCCAGACTTCAACATCCCTGTGTTGCACACGCGTGCGCGAACACCAGTATGGGTGTGAATACGTGAGCGCACCTGCGTATCCACCTGAGCGTCTGTGTTGCGTTGGTGACGCATCACCTCGTTGGCAGCCGTGCCTAGTTCTCTGAGCAGGGCTCGGGCGGCACTTCCAAGGCTGGTCGCTAGAGGGCGCGCTAACTAGGCTGTCTCAGGCCCTGTGGAATGTACCATTCCCGATCCTCCCCCCAGCTGCTCTAGGACATTCCAGGGTTAAGCTCCCCCCCTGTCTTGTGGCAGTGGTTTGCGCGGCGGCCCGGTCGGGCGGTGGGGGGATGGCGGCGGCGGCCGGTGCCTCCGGGAGCGGGATGGCGCAGAAGAGCTGGGAACTGGCCAACAACATGCAGGAGGCGCAGAGCATCGACGAGATTTACAAGTATGACCGCAAGCAGCAGCAGGAGATCCTGGCGGCCAAGCCCTGGACCAAGGAGTGAGAGCCGGGGCCGGGGACCGGGCCCAGGGGTGAGGGGCCGGGATACCCGGGCAAGGAGCGGGGCGGGCGGGGCCTGGGGCGCGAGGCCCAGGGAGGGAGCTCAGGCTAATGGGAGCGAGGTGGCGCAGGTCCGGAGGCGCAGCGGGGCCCAGGGGAGGCGGGGATGCAGCGCGGCTGCAAGGGGGGGATATGGGTGGGGAGGCAGCGGGGGTCCGGGAGGGGTGGTTTGGGTCCTGAACCAAGGCGCGGTTCTGGGGTGGGAGGAGGTTGAGATGGGGCGCCTTGTTATAATAAACCCCAGCTACTTCCTTTCCTGTATTTTGCATGTGTTTCCTATGTCTGTTTTCCTTGTCAGATTAGATACTTGGGCTCTTGCTAGAGTCTCTCCTTTTTTTTCTTGCAGCAACCACTACTTCAGATACTGCAAGATCTCTGCCCTGGCCCTGCTGAAGATGGTCATGCATGCCCGGTCTGGGGGCAATCTGGAAGTGATGGGGCTGATGCTTGGGAAAGTGGATGGGGAAACTATGATTATCATGGACAGCTTTGCTTTACCGGTAGAAGGCACTGAAACTCGAGTCAATGCTCAGGCTGCTGCATATGAATATATGGCTGCATACATAGAAAATGCAAAACAGGTAAATAAAGAGACCTATGTTTTATTGCTGCTATAATGACACATCCGGTTGTAACTTACACTGGGTTTTAGGATAGTCTGTCTAGGTTTTCTTATAAAGTTCCATCACCAGGATATCCTTGCACAGGATCAGAATTAATAAAAAATTGATAGTTCTCTTTTTTTCTCAAATATGTTTAATATCTTTGTTTATCATATTTAAATATTGCAGTGTTCTTTCACCTTTGTAGATCTGAGTTCAAATTCAGGGTTGGGTCACCAATTAATTGAGTGTAATTTCCTTTACATTTCTGCTCATCACCTAGGAAATGTTTTTATGGGTGCAGTCAGTTGCTCAAGAATGGTATAACAAAAGAGCTTATTTCTTCACAAATTTAACACAGTTATTTGTGGCATAAAAACTAAAGTTCATGTCAAGCATTAAATCTTTGTATTTCACAACTATCTTATTTGGTTGCTATATAACACGTAGATAATAGGTATAGTGTGGTTTTAGCTACTTATTCTTTTTATATAATCTATTTTGTTTTCCAACAAAAGAATCCCTAAAATTCATTTGGGAATAAAAAATAAAGGAGTATATAGTTGTCGATGTTATTTACTAGTAGTTGAACTTTATAAGCTATGAATGTTTGAGTCAAGAAGGAACGATTCACTACTATGAAATAGTTCTTTCCTCCCGCCATACAAAGTTCCCATGTTGCATTCACATTTAGGCCCTGATCTTCCAGTAGGTTCACCTCAGACGGAATTGGAGCTTTAATCTCTGGTAGATCAGGAGAGTTTGTCCCAGGTTAGAGCTGCTCTTATATTCATCTGCCACATCATATACTTATTTTATATTAATCTCCCACTGAAAGCTTGATAATCCTGTGATGCAGAATGAGCATTAGATCCCATCCAGTTTTCCCAGTTCAATTAGTTTTAGTAAGGCCTTGTCTATACTTAAAAAAGTTTTACTGTGTTAATTATATCTGGTGTGATTGAGCAGACCATTGCGTTAGTGCGGAGTTCTACTAAACTTAGTGATGGAGCTCAGATTGCAGGACTGGGGAATTCTTATGGAATTCCTGCTATATTTACACTTCATTTACTGATAGATTTCAGTATAAATTGCAAATTGGGTTAGATTAGAATATGAGAAAAGAGCATACACGAGGTCTTTTTTGTTTATTAAAAATATAACTTAGGCTGTAAAAAAGTTGTAATTTTTTAATTTGCTGCTTTGGTATGGCCAGTTCAAGTACCATTTAAAAAAAAAATAGAAACAGTTGTTGAGTTGGCAGTAGGGTCCTTTGCCCTCCAACAGGGGCTGGATATCCCCCCACCTCCTCCATTTCTCCTGTCCCTGGGTAGTGAGCTTTCTTCTGGACACTAGAACTAATCCCAGCTCAGAGACCGCCTGGAGGCCATTTGGAGGCTGGCACCACCCAGGCTCCCTCTTCCCAGGGCACAGGGCCCTGTGAGAAGTACAAGTCCGTGCCCCACTCCCTGGGCAGCCATGGGAGGTGAATTCTTCCAGGTCACATGGGAGCTGCTGCTGGTGGTGATTAGGCCTAGCCCATGCCACCTGGTGGAGGTGGAATTGCACCTGGGTGGTGAGTCGGGTGAGCTCCCCAGGGATCTCTGCCCCAATCCACATATGTGCCCGGCCCTGCCTTTCTCATCCACCTCCTGTCGGGTCATGACAGAAGGGCATCTGGGTTTAATTTGAGTGAGTGGGTCGCAATGTCACTCAAATTTGCAGAAACTATAAAAGGCTGCGGTGTGTTTTAAAAGCTGTGGTTTCTCAACAAAATCGCGGAATGCTGTTTTCTTACTGTCTTAAATATAACCTTATGCTTATTCAGACTGTTTTAGGTACTTCACTATCCCATTTTAAGTAGGTGATTTTGAAATTTATTTTAATCTAGCTTGTTTTGTCAATAATATATATATGATATCTGAAAAAATTAGTATTCTGTACATTTATTGTTTGTTATAGTGATTTAGCTAATGTGAACATTACATTTTCATCTGAAAAATTAGTGCCAATTCATTTATAATAATCTTACAGGTTATTTGTAACAGAGTTAGAGAGACATTTTTTCTGCAGTCTGTTTACTTTGTGCTGTTGAGCACTTTGATATATAATCAGCTTCTCAGTTTTGTGGATGGTCACTTTTGCTATTAGTCTCATGCACTACTGTGATGACTTCATTTTCATTCACTGCTCAGTGAGGAGCTAGCTCATGTGCATGCTCTTTCATAGGCCCTGGTTGAGGGATGTTTGCAGTACAGGTTGAACGTCTCTAATCCGGCACTCCCTGGTCCAGCAACATCTGTGGTCTGGCATAGGCGCTGACTCCGTGGGTGCTCCGGGGCTGGAGCACTCACAGGGGAAAATTTGGTGCAGAGCATCCACTGGCGCCAAGCTCCCCTTCCCCCCGCGCCTCTTGCGTACCGGCAGCCCCGTGCTTACCTCCTCTCTCCCAGAGCTTCTGGAGTGCCATGAAAAGCTGATCCACAGAGTTCAAGCTCCAGGAGGGAGGGGGAAGATCTGGGGCCAATGGCCGGGACCCCAGGCAAGGGACCACGCTGGGTGCAAAACCTGGGTGTGCTGCAGCACCCCTGCACCCCTACTTCCCACACCTGTGGAGACCCGTTGGCACTCTGCATTGACCTCCTGTGGTTCGGCAAATTCTCTGGTTTGGCACCAGTCAGGTGCCAAGGGTGCTGGACTAGAGAGGTTCAACCTGTAATATCTGAAACTAGTTTAAATTTTTTTAAATTAACTGATAGTAAGTTGACAGTGTTCCTTGATATCAGCTGAAGACATTGACTTCTGTGTTCATTTAATCAGATCTCACCTGTAGGGTTGATAAGACCAAAAAGTGTTACTCTTCCTTGGAAGAATGTAGTGATGTATAAATGATCTGTTCTTCTCTCTGTATGTAAACTGTAAAGCAAGTAAAAAGATGCTTTTATTTTACGCAAGATCCTGCTTCTGTTTAAAGTTGGTGGCTAAACATCCATTGATTACAATGGATGCAAATCAGACACTGTGTTCTGTCTTGTAGTATTATTTTAATGATTTGAGTTTCTTGTTTAAGACTCTGTATTTGTTAGAACTGGTTGGACTGTATAAATCCAAAAGCATGCACCTCTATTGCATGTTGGAAAAACCAATTGTTGGATGCCAGGAATTGAGTTGTTCGTATCAGTGTAGTTATAACTTTGTGCCATATGACTTCAAAAAACGTTTTAACCAGAGAAGGCTTAGGTTATTTAAAAAACATATGGGTTTGAAACTTGGCATAGTAGTGCATGTAGATACTTGCATTTTTTTTTCCCCATAATGTATCTGCAGTATGCTAAAAGCCCAAAAGAGGGCATCTGTCTCTTTCATTATACAAAGAGTCTTTTAATGTTATGTATTTCTTTCCCCTTCACTTCATTAGGTTGGTCGCCTAGAAAATGCAATTGGCTGGTACCACAGCCACCCTGGCTATGGCTGCTGGCTTTCAGGGATTGATGTCAGTACTCAGATGCTTAATCAGCAATTTCAGGAACCATTTGTGGCTGTGGTTGTAAGTATTAGAAGTTTATTAGTTAAGCATTCCATAGTCTGACAAAATTGTATAATAACTTAATTTCTTTGTGTTGAGGTGAAAATATTTACTTGCAGTTTTTATCTAAATATCTATCTATATTTCGTTAAATAACTCTCTGATAGTGTTTGTTTTTTATGGGGGGGTGTAGAATCCAGGCTTCAGAGCAGTATATCTCCCTTACCACGCTTTCTGGGCTAAAGAGAAAGTCAAGACAATGGTATACAAACAAATTTGTTCACTGGGACTGGAGAGATTTCATTCACTGCATCATTCCAGGTGTAGTCTGTTAAAATCTTCTCTAATCTTAGATTAGAAACCATGCTTGTTACTTCAGCAAATAATTGAATAGCCCACACTGAGCCTTCCGCCTTAGATCTAAAAACTTTAGTTCTGTGATTCCCTCAACCTTCTGTAGTAAGGGACGCTGAGTAAAATTGCTCACAAAACCGTGGTATTCCTCATATAACATGCATTATCAGTAAAGTCACAAAATTATCTTTTTTATATGTTCTGAGAAAATTCACTGGGCCCTCCAACCCCTCAGGACTGCAGGTCACAACAGTTGAAATAGAAATTTAGCCTTTGATTTAAACAACAACTTTATATAACCACTTGCTCTAGTAAAGAGTGTAAACACCAACAAAAGAATGGAATTATTTGAGGAATAGTTGGCCGTCTAATTAGGATTGTGGGATTAAATTAGAAAAGTATAAACCAAATATTAGAAAAAAGTTCTGGACACTAAAATCTGTTTTGTTGTGGCATAGTCTCCCAAGGAAATGTTGGAAGCCCCTTCAGTTTTACTTCTAAAATGAAACTGGCCAATGCACTAGTAAATGTATTGTAGAGAGAAAAGGAGTACTTGTGGTACCTTAGAGACTTAACAAATTTATCTGAGCATAAGCTTTCATGAGCTACAGCTCACTTCATCGGATGCATTCTCCACTGAATGCATCCGATGAAGTGAGCTGTAGCTCATGAAAGCTTATGCTCAGATAAATTTGTTAGTCTCTAAGGTGCCACAAGTACTCCTTTTCTTTTTGCGAATACAGACTAACACGGCTGCTACTCTGAAACCTGTATTGTAGAGAATAATCCTGCATTATGCTCCTGCTCTATTCTTCAAAATAGATTAGATGATCTAATAGGTATTTCCATCCCTAATTTCGGGGTGGTGGGGGCTTAAAATTAAAAGCAGTAAGTATCACCGTTGTATTGACTGACAGATTGCAACATTTTTATCACACACTATAGTACAGGATTTGCTGAGGCTGATACTAACCATTCTGTTAATGTAGAGAAGTGGGATTAATGGGCAGCTGTTGATGTTCCACTTTCTTTTCATGAGTGCTCCATATAAACTGATGTCAATTACAAAAGTGCTATGCTTTATTAGAGAACATAATGCAACTTTTTCAAGTTATAGTGATTCAGTGTAAGTAGATCAATAAGTATGCCACCTGCATATATCAAAAATCACCTATATTTTTACAGATTGATCCAACAAGAACAATATCTGCAGGAAAAGTAAATCTTGGAGCTTTTAGAACATATCCCAAGGTAAAAGTTAAGGTTAAAAAAAGTATGTGTATTATCAAGATTATTAAACTGTATATAACTAAATGCATGGGTCCCATTTTTAAGGATCATTGTTAAGCATGAAAAGCACATTATCTGACCGGTCTTTCCTTTTTTTTAATATTCTATATCTTCCTTTTTCAGGAAAAGATGTAATTTTTTTCCTAACCTAAAATAAATATTAAAATATCATCATATTATGCATGCCTCTTGGAAGAAGAAATAACTTTGGTAAATAATCTGATTTCAGTTTCAGGGTTCCATTGAATTACTAACAGACATAAATAATAAATCTGGGTATTGTCATACTTAAATAGTCCTCTTTACGTGTTGTTTGTGTTTAGAGACGTTGAATTATAGTCTTCTTTCCACAGTTTTATTCCCTGTTGTATTAAATGTATTTTTAGATATTGGAGCTGCAACATAATTGCAGCAGTTAAATATAGTTGTGCTATTTCTAAAGTTTCTGCGGCATAGATCTATAAGAATTTGGATTGTTATAGGGAAGAAGGAATAGTAAATTTATGACTTATTAGTTCAAAATTCTGCTTTTGGCTACACATTTTTTTAAATCTGGGAATCTGTATTGAGATTGCTTTGAGAAAAGCAAGAGTCAGAATCTCATACTTTTATTTTTGATAGTCTTTTCAAAGAAATGCTGTTAGATTCACAGGATAAAAAAAAACAAACCACATTTTGAAATGAAATTTTAAACTGAAAATAATAACATACATAGCAAGCTGAAGATATTTAATTTAACTGGAAATTATTTAAAGCTGAAATCTAAATTTTTCCTAGTTTTATTTTTATATCAATGATAGAGAAATGAAAGTATAATTTAATTGATATATCCTCAAATATAATTATACCTTCCTAAATTCCAGTTAAGGCCCTCATCCTGCAAAGACTCACACACATTCTTATGCACTATGAATAGTTTTATTGGTTTCAGTAGGATCGCTCACGGTGCATGAAATTTAAGCATGTCTTTGCAGAATTGGGGCCTACTTCTGCAATGTGATTTGTTAGCATGGACCTTGACACTCATGCAGAGTACAGGTAAAGTCAAAAGGACTCTGGACATGAAGGTCTGGGCTAGTGTATGCTATTGTAAGAAAGTAGAAATATTATTGTCTTATGGAAGACACCAGTCTGGCATCACATTATAATTGTAAAAATACGTGTGAAAAGTTCCCCATTGCATTCATGCAGTACTTTTTTGTTACGAATGAAAAGCAGGTCTGCATCGACTTTTTTCTAAACAAAAGGAAATGAGTATTTGTTGTTGTCAGAACTTATGTATGAACCAAAAAAAATCTCATATAAATACTTTCAGGGGACTAAACAAGAAGAAGAAATGTAACTTGAACTTAAAAAACAAATCACAGTTAGACATTCGTTTTAGCAGAATGTTTTAAGAGGAGTAATGGAAATGATTCAGGTGGGTGGTATTGGCCAATTCAGTAGTTGTGAAGGCTGCTATTGATTAAACTGGAGACTGAAGTTCTGGGACAGGTACAAAGTGGGCAATAGTAGTGCAGGGTTCATTTCACTACTGTGCTAATGTTTGTCAATCCTGTTCTGGCGCAATCACTTCCAGGGACAAAGAGTAGTCTCGTCTCCATGCCCCTTCCATCATTGCCCTAAGAGAAAACGATATGGCCATTTATGGTGGGGATATCTGCCCAATGAGAACTGGCTGAGACCAGCAACTTACTACTTACACATTTCTGCACATCCATCAAATAGTAATGACTATTAACCCAGGCCAGATGAACCAGTGATCAAGAGAGAAGATTCCAAAATTCATAAGTCTGCTGGGCCATCCGTTTTCCCTATGGAAGTTGTTGTCTTTATTGGGAACTTGAACAGCATTTGCAAGCAGCCTTAAAATGACTTCTTTCTTTTGCATGAAGAAATGTATTTATTACTTTTTCCACTTACTTTGGTGGTTTCTGTTTGTTTAACTTTTCAGGGCTTTAAGCCTCCAGATGAAGGGCCTTCAGAATACCAGACTATTCCACTTAATAAAATAGAAGACTTTGGTGTGCACTGTAAACAGTAAGTAACTCATGAATTATTATCTGAATCATGAGTAGAAGTTCTCAGTCTTTCTCCACCTTCTACCATGGCCCTAAGTGCCATGGTTTCTTGCAGTGACCCAAATACAAAAAGCCTTTGTTTTCTTTGTGCTGCTGGCTTTATGGAAAAGTGTTGCGAGCTGTCATTCAGCAGGGAGATGGTTTGGGGAACACTGCTTCAGTGAGTCAGATGAATGCTCTGAGCAGCTGTGTCAACGCAGCTAGCATTTTGCCATCTTCAAGCATTGCGTCTCTGGAGCAGTGTAGTGGGGGTGGAAAGAGGAGCTGCTGCAACGAGAATGGGCTGATTAGCATCAAAAGAGGCAGGAAAAAGAGCTGCGTTAATTTGCTTTCCTTTAGTCTTAGAGGTCATTTGGTTTTAGCAATTTTTGCTCCATACCCGTTCTCATGACCCAGTTGAAGTTTGCAGTTTGAGAACTCTTGACTCAGAATCAGTGTTTAAAATAATTTTCAAATTCATATCATTGTCAGTTTATGATGTATGATATAAAATATTACTTAACACCATTCACTTGGGAGGGCAAGTTATCCTTTTGGTATATTTGGTACTTATGCATACAACTCTCACTATAATTAATGACAGGATTCAGAGTAACAGCCATGTTAGTCTGTATTCGCAAAAAGAAAAGGAGTACTTGTGGCACCTTAGAGACTAACCAATTTATTTGAGCATAAGCTTTCGTGAGCTACAGCTCACTTCATCGGATGCATACTGTGGAAACTGCAGAAGACATTATATACACAGAGACCATGAAACAATACCTCCTCCCACCCCACTCTCCTGCTGGTAACAGCTTATCTAAAGTGATCACTCTCCTTACAATGTGTATGATAATCAAGTTGGGCCATTTCCAGCACAAATTGAGAAAACCTGGATTTGTGTTGGAAATGGCCCAACTTGATTATCATACACATTGTTAGGAGAGTGATCACTTTAGATAAGCTGTTACCAGCAGGAGAGTGGGGTGGGAGGAGGTATTGTTTCATGGTCTCTGTGTATATAATGTCTTCTGCAGTTTCCACAGTATGCATCCGATGAAGTGAGCTGTAGCTCACGAAAGCTTATGCTCAAATAAATTGGTTAGTCTCTAAGGTGCCACAAATACTCCTTTTCTTTTTATAATTAATGAGTTACATGTTGAATGATTCATATGTTGATGAAGGGCTAGACTCCAAAGGGATGGGTAGTTAAAACTCTGGAGAGGTGTGGGAAATTGCATTATTGGCAATAAATGTAGTCTTTCAAGGCATTCCTGTCATCATATTAAGAAAAAAAACACTTTTCCCTTTTCCAAACTAACAACTTGAAGGCCATGCACTTAAAAAAATAAAGCTTTATGAAAATCTCAGCTGGTAACTATTATTAATTATTTGCATTACCATACCAGGAGCAAAGTAGAAATCCCTGGCAAACACTTAACTGCTAGTCATTCTGACTATTCATTATAAAGCAAATGTTCTAGATCGGGGTGGGCAAACTACGGCCCGGGGGCCACAACCAGCCCTTCAGATGGTTTAATCTGGCCCTTGAGCTCTTGCCAGGGAGCGGGATCCGGGGCTTGCCCTGCTCCGTGTGTGCTGTGGCTCTGCGCATCTCCTGGAAGCAGCAACATGTCCCCCCTCTGGCTCCTACACTTAGGGGCAGCCAGGGGTCTTCGCATGCTGTCCCTGCCCCAAGCACCACCCACACAGCTCCCACTGGCCAGGGTTCCTGGCCAATTGGAACTGCAGAGGCAGCATGTGCAGACAGAGCAGTGTGCAGAGCCACCTGGCCACAGGAGGAGGAGGGACATGTTCCTGCTTCCGGGAGCTGCTTGAGGTAAGCGCTTCCTGGAGCCTGCATCTCTGATCCCCTCCTGTGCCCCTGCCCTAGCCCTGATTCCCCTTCTGCCCTCTGAGCCCCTCGGTCCCAACCCAGAGCACCCTTCTGGACCCCCAACCCCTCATCCCCAGTCCCAACCGAGAGCCCACTCCCCCAGCTGGAGCCCTCACCTACCCCAACTCCCTGCCCCAGTCCAGAGCCCCCTCCCACACCCTGAACTCCTCATTTCTGACCCCACCCCAGAGCCCTCATCCCCTCCTGCACGCCAACCCCCAATTTTGTGAGCATTCATGGCCTGCCATACAATTTCCATACTCAGATGTGGCCGTTGGGCCAAAAAGTTTGCCCACCCCTGTTCTAGATGAAGTTAGATTGTTTGTGCATTTCTATGGCATTAGATTTTTTTCTTTAAATTTACCATTACCCTTTTTAATCTGTTCTCAGATAAATGGAATTTTTCAATTTTATAAAAATTGTAATAATTACCATAACAGTCTCCCTCTCAAATAGCTAGTTAGTATCTGTTCTAAGTCATTGTCTTTCTTGAAGCTGCATGAAAAGATTTACAGAAGAGGACTTCCAATCTTCCCCAGGGGAGGATAGCCATGAAAAAAGAGGAGGGGTTGAAATTGCAGACACTAATTATGCTTTAGTCTGTTGGGTGAGGAATTGCTAACACCATGGTATTTGTGATGTTCGTTCTCCTGCAATATGAATGAATCATTTGTACCACAGAAGATTAGAATAGTCGTTTCCACCCACTAGTATGTGTACCAGGACTTGTAAATCTGGTTTTAGTGACAGTTTCTTTCGGCTTCTCTTTCCTAGCTTAATGATGAGCTTCTGTGTTTGGGTCCTGGTGTGGTGGCAATGCCAGTGGGCACTGGGTAGAAAAGCAGAGCTACTGCTTTATAATCATATACACATGTCCAGCCACCACCCTGGGGAGTGACTGCATTCAACCACTTCTCAGCCATGAATCAGCCCCAGTGGTTGCACTTTTACCTCATCTTTGACTGCTATTCTATTACAGTACTTAGTTGAGAGGTCCTCTTTGAGGAAGAGCATGCTAAATAGGTTTTGTGTATTATACCAAATGCCATCTCCCTTAATTAAAGTGTCAGTTCCTAATGATAAGCACCTCAATTAATGTTGAAAAAGCATTTAGCTTATAAATTTACAAATGTGAAACTTTTGTAAATGTCTCTGCTTTTGCCATTTAATTTTTAAAAGGGAATTATATTTGGCATGTTACTTCACATTTTAAATTTTTCTTCAGGTGTATATTTGTAGATATATGACCTAACACACACACACACACAGGCTCTTCCATGATATTTTAAATTGGGCATCATTTTCCTTTATTTTTACTAAGTTGATGAAAACTATTTGTCAGATGATTAAAGCACAGGCCTGGGAATTGGGAGATCAGGGATCTAATTTTGATTCTGCCACAGATTTCCTTGGGCAATTCACCTTTGTGCCTAATTTTTCTGTAAAGTGAGGATCTTTCTCTTCATCACAACATTATGAAGTTTAATTTATCCATTTTTGTAAAAGACTTTGATCATCTCAGATGGAAGATGCTATGGAAATGCAAAGTAAAATAACTGATTTTTATTACAGGAAAAGTACAAAGCCAGTACAAGGGGGTTAATTGTAAAAGCACATTTTAACAGCAAAAATGGACCATTTAATATATCTCATATCTCTTGTTGCTGACTCTCCCCTTCTCACTTATTGTTTTGGCTTTCTAGCTCATTATATGGTTGACTTGGTCAGCATTAGCAGATTTCACTTATAAGTGCATTTTTCCTAATATGGTTGAGTTTTACCTAACAGGTCTCCCAAGAGCAAGGTTAATATATCATTGCTAATGGATTAGTGGATCTGTACCATTTAAATTATTCAAAAATAACTTCTGTGCAGTGACAGAGGAAAGACTGGCAATAATTTTTTTTTTTTGAAGAATGATTTAGTGATTTTAATTGGATAACATATAAGTGGCAGTTATAACTGCATCAAAATAAAACCATGTAAATGCTGTAATAGCCACACAAGAACAGGAAGCCCAGCAATCATTTAACTTCAGTTCTCTGATACTCAAAAAAGTGTACCTCATGTTCCAACTCCCAGTATGTTGCCTTTAGTACATCAATAGAAATGTTCTTGCATAGCTTAAAGTGAAGATTACCTTTTGGGCATGTCAGGTTCTCCTTTTATAAAATCCTACATGAAAGTTCTGTTTTCAGGAGCATCACATCATCCACCCTCCAACAGCCTTCTGAGAATTACTTTTAACAGATGTTTGAAAAATTGTAACAAAACTTAAAAACAAATGAACAGATCTCTTTTCTCCCCGGTCCTATTGCAGTCTTTCTATTCCTTGACAAATCTGATTTCTCTTCCTGCAGGCCTCAATCCATTTTGCAAGCACTTCAGAATGAGTACATCAAAAGAGACAATCTATAGAAGGCATGAGCTAGGGAGGACAGGAGGGTTCCTTTTGGTTTACACATTTAGGATGAATTCCCACTAATTGGAAAGGGGATATGTTCTACAGTTGGCAAGGCTTTCTATATACACCTGTATTTGTAAAACAGCTTAATGGCAGAAATAAGTATTTTTTTAAAATACCAAATCTTCTATTTTTTTACTTTCAGCATAATGCACATCTGAGCAGCAGAGAAGGTTGCAATATGTATTGTTGTCTTGTAAGATACAATATGAATTGTATTTAAAACAAAACAGGATAGCTTATCTTCCTTATTCCTTTGTTGTGAATTCTGTAATATCGGGAAAATCTGTCTTATTAACACCTAAGATGCATAACAAGGGATAAATAGGCTCTTTGTTAAGCTTACCACTATCCAACATTGCCACTTATCACATTCCACTAGATCAGTAGTATTTCAATTTACTTTTATCTATAAATTATAATAATATTTATGATAGCACCCAAAGGTTCCAATCAGGATCAGGGCCTCTTTGTAATATGTACTATACAAACACTATTAAAAGGACAGTAACTGACCCCAAAGATCTTGTGTTACAACAGAACCTAATGACAGGTTTCAGAGTAGCAGCCGTGTTAGTCTGTATCCGCAAAAAGAAAAGGAGGACTTGTGGCACCTTAGAGACTAACAAATTTATTTGAGCATAAGCTTTCATGAGCTACAGCTCATTTCCGAAACTGAATGCATCCGATGAAATGAGCTGTAGCTCACGAAAGCTTATGCTCAAATAAATTTGTTAGTCTCTAAGGTTCCACAAATCCTCCTTTTCTTTTAACAGAACCTAAGTGGATGAAGAAAACAGCATTTGGTTAGTTATAACTGTGTTAAAACTGCATACATCAGACACAGGAGGGAAATCTGTCCTCAGGGAAATATTCATGGTGTAGATCTTAATGTGTGTTACTGTTGGACCCTAAAACATTGCGTCATTTGTCACATTGGTTGTTCCGTTAGTCTTTGCATTTTTGAGAAATGCATTTACTTTCTATTTATTCCTTTTCAGATGCCTGTGACCATGAGGATTTGATTGTAAAATACCCTACAACTTTGACTGGTAGCTAACTAAAAAATTTGCTTTGTTTTTTTAAAATAGGTATTATGCTTTAGAGGTCTCCTACTTCAAATCATCTTTGGATCGTAAATTACTTGAACTACTGTGGAACAAATATTGGGTGAACACACTCAGTTCTTCTAGTTTGCTTACTGTAAGTAGAATAATATATCCTATAAGAGTTTAGGTACCTCTGGTGCTAAAGGTAGGGATCTCTGCTGCCAAAGGTAGTTTGCTTACTGTAAGTAGAATAATATATCCTATAAGAGTTTAGTACCTCTGGTGCTAAAGGTGACTCCTTGGAGCTAAAGGTAGGGATCTCTGCTGCAAATTGCTTAATGGAAGACTGCTGAGTAATTTTGACTCCAGATTTAGATTCTGTGCATCAGGTTTTACAAAACCAAATAATAAAGAGGAAGGTTTTCATGAACATAAATAAAACCTTTCTGTAAACATTTTTCTGTTTTTACTATTTGATAACCAGAAAGTGAAGCTAACTAGTTTGTTCTCATTGTTTAAGCTGAGTTTCAGTTAAATCTATTTTTTAGTATAACATTTAGTATCCCCTTACTGCACAGTAGTAATTAGTATCCATTAAGGGTTACCAGGTATATAGGCTATATATTATTGATGGTATTACTAATTTTATTATAACTCCTTTTAAGCCATACTGAGTATCTTCAGAAAGGGACTGCTTTTTGTTGTAACCATGTGCCTCAAGTAGAAATTGTGACTTGACCACTAGATAACTACCATCCATTGCATTCACTGTACTTCTGTTATGAACATACTTTTTACTTTGGATTCAAATCTCATTTACTTACTTCAATAAAAATCCAATGCATGGTGATTATTTTAAAATGCACACATTCTTTAATATGTGTTTTTACTCTGCAAAGCAACTCTGTAAAATGATATTGTGAGACTCCCTATTCTCTCAATTATTCCAAATCAAATTTACTGCATTTGCAAATAAAAATATTGTTCTTTCCTAACTTCCAATCCTGGAAACTTGAATAGGGATTTGAAAGTCAAACTTTGCTTTTTCCAGCTTCATGCCTAGTAAAAGATTCTGCCCACAGTAATACCTGTGCAACTCCAGTGGGCCAAACTGACACTATTTCATACTCTGTACAAGTCTGTTGTATTCAGTTGGATTGCATAGTTGTAAATTAGAGCAGAATAATATCCATTATTCTCAGTGAGGTTGCATAAATTGAACAGAGTGCAAAACTTGGTCCTTCTTTTCTCTAGCAATGTTAATATCGCTTGGTTGAATTCTTTAACCTGTGAAAACTGAATACTTCCTGTGATCCATAGGAACCTAGTCTGTAGACATGTAGTTCTATATTCCTGTGAGCTGTAGGAAGAAATACCAGGTAAGGAACAGATTTAGGAGGGACAAGTAGGAGAGCTTCCACCATTTTGGAGGGTGCTACATGTTGAACAGGAGAATTCAGTGCTTCCACACACCTTAGTGATGAAGTCAAGACTTTGCTGTGTCTGTGTTGGGCTCCATCTTCTGCTGCCACCATTGACTCTAAATTCAGTTGTGCAGCTTGCTGTGAATTCAGAGACACTCCATATCCCACCATCTGTGGTGCTCCAAAATTTAGATCAGTGTATAATCTGACACCCAGGGAGCTGGTAGATCAGCCATTCACATTAGGCGGAAAGAAGGTTCTGAGCCAGGCTACCTGTTCAACATAGGGAAAGCTGAGGATGAAGATGAGGAGCCAGGCCTGGAGAGCATAGCAATAGAGAAAAACAAAAACCTCCTTTTAAAATAATGACTGTCAAATCATCAGGTTTAATATCAGACTGAGTATTTTCAACTGAGAGTCGTGGGAGGATAAGGAGGGGAAATGGGAATATGGGGTTATTTCATGGTGATAGAATAATTTTAATATTACCACAGTTTTTCAAAGCTAGAAATTTTGACTGTTTAGACCATTTTTCCCCCTCATCAATATCAATTAAACTATCCCATTGACAAAGTTCATTCATTTTTTTCAGTTTTACATAATGCAAAATTCCACCCTGGAATGTTTTGCATGTTTTTCATTGGTAATTTTAAAAAATTACCTTCAACCTAAGATGTCTTGTGGTGTATCACACTGGGAGTAAATTTTTTTTTATGGCCAATTGATGAAACCATTAAAATGAGCTTATAATAGAAATATTGATAGGTCCTTCCCTGCTACCACGTCTCTGAAATGAGACAGTAAAAGTGCATAGCATTATCTGTCAATGTGCAGCTCTCTTTTTTTTTTAAGATTCCTCCATCCCCCAAAGATTTCCCTCTGCAAAGGCCCGCCACTGTGCTGATTGTCCTGGCCATGGATGACTAGATGTCACTTATTCTGGCTCCGCTGTTCCTGTATCACTAGGGGGGTGGCTCCAGAACAGCAAAGAGCTCCCACTCTCCAGGTCTAAATATTCTGCATACTTCATGCCCTCAGCTCTTGCTAGCAAGCAGTCAAAGGACTGAACTGGTCTCAGATGCACATCATTCATGTAGGTTACCTGTTGAGCTCCAACTGGTCTGCCATGCTAAGCCCAGCACTACTTAGACTTAAAGGTATTTTGTGAGGTTGCTTACTTGTGTATTTTGTGCATAAATACCAACATGACTTACAGCTCTATCTATAATACATTTAATGGTATCTTATTCCAACAGAATGCTGACTACACAACTGGCCAAGTCTTTGATTTGTCTGAAAAATTAGAACAGTCAGAAGCCCAGCTGGGCCGAGGGAGTTTCATGTTGGGTTTAGAGACACATGACAGAAAATCAGAAGACAAACTTGCTAAAGCAACAAGGGACAGGTGAGATAATACATGTCTGGATTTTGTAAGAAATGCTATTCTGTTTTAAACTCTAAGTTCACATACTTTAAACTGTGATCTGTAGGGAATTATTCTCCAGTTCCTTAGCATTTTGGAGGAGTCAGAGTAAAAAATACACTGCTGTAATTTAGAAATTAAAATATAGAAATACCTCATGTACATCACAAAGGCAATTACAATTTTTGTATTTACTACAGCGAATAAACTGTTTATTAACTGAAGCCATGAAGAAATCCCTTTGGATTTATTATGTATTGCAAAGCTTTTGTGTCATCTTAAGCAATCAGACAAGATGCTAGGGACCTTTGACCTGCTTCAGCATGGCATTTCTTTGGTGGGCCTCATAAAAATGACATTTCAAACTTCTGTGTTGGCTCCACTAAAGTTATTAACCAATTCTGTATTTCTAGTTGATCGGTTTTTAATCAAAAATATCCCTGTTAAAGTTCATTCAAAATATAGGCAATTTCTCAAATGCAAAAGGCTAGCATAGGTTGAGCATCGCATTTCTTATTCTTGCAAGTGTGTTCCAACAACAGCAAAGAGGAGAGAAAAGAGTAATCAATATATACATTAAAGTAAGGACTTTTGCCATCCCTCTAAACAGCATTTTACAGTTCTGTCTAAACCATTTAGTCTTATAAAAAACTGAGGACTTGCCTTTCACATCTTTTGCATAAAACATTTCCTTCCACAAATGACCACGCTGCACCTGAAGTGGGGGTGAACATTGTCATGGCTTGCTGGAAGAGGGGTAGCAGTGCTTTATGGATGGGGGAGGAAGGAGGTCAGAAGCTGCTGGAAAAAGAGTAGGTGGGGGGTCAGTGTGGGCAATGCTGATTAATCTGGAAATGTAAGTGCGGAAGACTTTAAAAAAGGCAGGTTAGGACATTAGAAGACCTTCCTCCACGCATCAAGCAAGGCAGCACCCACTCTCCTTCCCCTCGAGGTGGCAAATATCATATTGGTTAGGACCTGCTCTGGGTATTGTGCTAGTCTCTCCTTTTTAGGGGGGCTGGGAAGGAATTTTTCCTTCACCACCATATTGGCTTATTATGGTGAGGAGGAAAGGGGGTTAGGCTGTATATGACAACTCATTTTGTAAGAGTAGGGCAGATGTCCAGTGCAGATGCTCCCTGGGGAAGACATCCAATGGCCAGATAAATGACCTCATAAAGGACTTAAAAAGGAGGTGCTGGCTAAAGGAACGGAATGGGGAAGGGCTTCTATGATTGGTACAGTAGGCAGCCAACCCCACTTTCTAATAGCCCACTTTAACCCTCCTAAGAGTGGGGGTGAATGGCAAGGTCGCAGCCATGGGTTGGCTAGGGGGACCTGGATGGAAAATGAAAGGGGTGGGGGAGCTGGTGGAAGCCCAGGTAGTTATTTGAATGAACATAGACTTTCCTGCACTGTGTACTTGTATCTGCATCTACAAGTTACGGTCTGATTAAATCCGCATGAAGTGTGTTCTGTCCTCCTTTTGGTATAGCTGGACAAGGAGGAAACCTTTTAGGAAGACCTTTATGAAAATTGTATGTTTCAGATTAGTTAGCTATCCTGAACACAAATATAATTTTCTGTTATCAGTTAATGAACATACTATACCTGGATGCATATTATTTAAAATGCACTCCTGATGCTTTCTTCAAAAATATTTCCTTTTTTTTGTTGTTGCTTTAAAGAATTACCCGACCTCCTTTCTGGGCTCTGAAGCTCTTAGGTGATCACCTGTTGCTTTTTCATTAGCTTTCATCAGTCGCCAAAGCAGTTTTTTTACAACTTGATTTAATCTCCAACATGGTTACATATAAAGTATATCTATGGCACTATTTAACTGTTGAACAGTGATGCTTTACAAACTATGAAATGTCTTCCTGTGTTGTGTAGTAAGAAAGAAGCATTTCAAGTAATTTACTTCAAATAAGTGTCCCTAGAACTCATCATTGTCCAGCTATGCTGGAAGAAGACCAGGAGGCACTGGATGTGGTTTAATTAGAACACAACTCTATTCTTAACAGTCTGGGAGTACCTAGCAGATAAAAGTGTACAGTTCAGGTAATTCCATGATCATTTTCATATATACCCGCGGGCTTCCGTCAGCCCTTCCCCTTTTCCATCCTGGTCCCCAGCCAACCTGCAGCTGGGACCTCACACCCCATCCCCCACAAACACACACATCTCGAATGAGTGTTGGGGGGGGGCTATAAAGGCAGGGGGGTTGGCTCCCAGCCGTGCCATTCTAAGAACCCCCCCATGTCTGTTCATTTAATACCTCTTAAATCTTTCACAAATCCATTTTATCTGACCGCTGTATCCATTCCCTACGGAATACCTGCACTGGACATTGACCCCCATATTTACATAATGAGTTGTGACATCTTAGCCTAACTCCTGTTCCATGTTTGCCCCAACTAAGGCCCCCTCCCCACGCGCCAACCTGCTGTAGGGAAGGCAGAAAAAAACTACTTTGCATTGGCTAATCTGGTCCATGGACCTATATAGTGTCCCCTCTCTTCCAATCACCTAGGGGAAAGGATGGGTCAGCGTGCCCATGCTAACCTGCTCTACAGTTGCTGTAAAAATCACACCATGCCTCTCAAATCCCTTCCTCTAGCAAGTGTGTTGACTGCCCCACCACTTACTGTACAGTGTGGTCATTACAGTTCTGGCATAGTTATTGTCCCTTCATATTTTCATAGCTTTTTAAGCTTGTTAATCAAAATGCTATTAGAATCTAGCGTGAAGAAGTTCTTGTGGGTGACAAAAAAGAACACTTAACTTTTTCAATCCACTGTGCCACTTCAGTGGCATGGCTTCAGTGAAGCTGGGGTTTCTTTCCTTTCTAATTGTTACAGGATTTGAACTGATCAGATATAGACTGTAACTCTTTCAGAGGTGAATGAGGGTGGTGGTTTTGTTTTGTTATGCTAAAACCATTAGCAGAACATATTTAATTTCTAATATACACTTGCTAAAAAAGCAAAGTATTGGAACTGATTTTCTATTACATGAGTTCAGGGTTTTATATTTCCTTTACTATAGTTAAATTAAAACCTAAAATAATGGATGGAATTCAGTTTCCTGTATTTTAGGTTAATGTCCTAAACTGTTGGACAAAAAGTATAGTCTGAAATTGGTTCTTGACATGTAAAGAACTTGTCAGTTTACCTTTTCAGATAACTAATAGCTTTTGGCAACAACTAAATTGATGTGTGACTTTTCATATCTGGACAGTTGTGAAGATTCATGGGGTTATGGGCACCCCGAACTCCTGAGACAGTCGAATAACTTATAATACAGTGACAGTTCGGTATTTAGCCAATGTTGAATTTATACTTGTTTTTCAGTTGCAAGACCACCATAGAAGCTATACATGGATTGATGTCTCAGGTTATTAAGGATAAACTGTTTAATCAAATTAATATTGCTTGAAGTGCATCGCCAGCTGATATGCATCTCCAAGGCTGAAAAAGTCATGGTTATTTCTTTCTTTTGGACATGTTCAGTTTTGGAATTAAAGTAAGAATGGATAATTATTCAGTTAATTTGTAGTACTTTCATCTTTCCCACCTTTTTGCCCAGTTTTAAAGAACAGATTGTTCTGAAATTTATTGTAAACTTTGTTCTCTATCATAAAACACAACCATTTTGGATAATTGTTTCAGAAGAAAAGAAAATGTGACAGTTATTAGATGCTTCTCTTTAGTATTTATATCTGTTATCAATCTGCAATAAAAAAAATAAAAATGAGCAAGTGATTTTTTTGGTAAACACTTATTTCTAGCATTTCATTTTTTTCTGCTGTTTCCCCAGAACAAATTCTTCTAATTCATCTAGTTTTGAGAGACAATAAAGCTAATTTAAGAAATTCTATTTTTGTTAAGAACATAATTTTAATATGCTTTCCCAACTCTTCTTTTAATTTTAAAACCTTGAATCTCTTTAGGTTAGTTTTTTAAGCAAAATTCTAATTGAAACATTAATCGCTTATTTTTGCAGATTGACTCAATGGGGGTCTGTTCTCATTCATGTATTGTAAGAATATCTTGCAGCCATGCCGTGGAATTTGTTTGCTAATACCCTACTGTGTTTCGTAGAAAAAAGAGTGGCAAATGAATGGAAGCCAGGGGAGTGATAGAATTATTAGTACACAATGCCCTAATGTCATCCAGATATGATTAGAGAATAGAAAATAAAATGAATGTAGTTATTCTTTACATACAACTCAGCAGTTATGAAAGAACAGTAATTCAGAAATCCCTGATGTAATTCTGTTATGGTATATGTGTATAATAACAGTATCATTAACCTCCTTATGAACAAGAAGATTGTGGCAAACAAAATGTGTATGCTAAAACTAAAATAAACATCCAGAGAAAGATGTGCAGTTGAAATATTAGTCTTCTGTGAAGTTTTTCTTTTGAATAAAAAAAGTTTTAAGTCTTAATAAATTATCATGCTTGAGATGATCTCCATGCAATTTCTCTCTGGAAGACTCTTGTGCTGTATGTACTTAGTGCATTGTGTATTAAAGTACTTAACTAAAAATAAGTGGATTTGATTAAAAAAACAAGGAAAAGCAGAAGCTTCTTGCAAATGCACAAAACCTCCATTTTTACTGAGTGCATAATTTGCATTTAAAGTGAGGGAGCATTAGGAAACAGTTTTTTGCAAGAGGGCTGAATGTGTCTCCCTCTTTACGTTTTAATGTTTTGCCTTTTTAAATTTAGTTTCTTGACTTTTTAAGAATTCCAAACAGTAATTGAAAATGTAAAATATAGCTGAGTAGTCAAATAATAAATTTGCAGTTAAGCCATCTAGTTATCAGATGATTACATAAACCTATGTATATTACCATTATCCTTTTCCAACCCTCCCTCTGTTGCTTGTCACATACACTTGTTTCATGAAGGGGAAGAAGATGAAAAATGAATGTCTTGAAAAATCAATTTAATCTAAATCTAGGACTATAAACACTAAAATGCATGAATCATAATTGTATGCTTATAATTTGGTGTCGCTGCAGGGTTAAGTTTGTTTGGGTGCCTTTATGCTGTGTTTCCATAGTTTAAGATGTTTAGGTTTCTTTTAAGTTTATCCTTAATCCTGAATTTCCTGTGTTTACAGTGTTTATTTTGGGGATAATTTACAATATGCTTCTTTTAACATGCTGTAAAGCTTTATACCTTACATAATTGATATGTACTCTCAACCTTAACTATGCCCTCATGTCAGTCTTTTGTCTGGGAATTTTAATAGCTATTATTTGTATAATGCTTTTCATTCAGATGGATTCCTGTGTACTTTAAGCAGATATGCAAGTTATAAAATGGAATTATGTCACTCATGAGGAAAATCCAGGCACCTCTAAAGTTAAAATGTAGCAAATATTTAAGAGCAACATTATGTAACATTTTAGAAAAGGAAATTAATTAGAACTTCAGGGGCAGCTTAGGCAGAATGTAAAATTACCTGACTTAAAATTTAGTAAATTCAGCGTAAATTCTTCTCCATAGGAAAAAATGCCATGGGATCTGTAATGATCACAAGATGGTCAGTCATCAGTGTCTTTGTGGCCTTACCCTATGACCTAACACTGGCAACTGTAGGTTGTGCAGGAGCAGACATGCTGCTCACAGCTGCACTGTATGTAGTCCCTTTTAGAAAATTTTAAAAAAACCTACAGCAACTGTATTGGGATACTGGGGAAAGTAATTTTTCCCCCAGTGTTTCCCACACAAGAACTCACAAAACTACAGTCTAGTATGAAACCCTTATCACATAGAATGAATGATATATGACAAAAAGCAAGAATACTAAGCACGGAACGTTTAGAAAATGGGTTTTTCTTTAGCTGTATACTAAATATCTCTTCGGAAACACAACTCAAGTCATCAGTGAGAATTTGCTCTGTAAGTGCTGATCTCAAGTTGTGACAGTACAAATATGTATGTAAAATCTTAGTATAATATAGCCTTTTCAGAAATCCTCTGTATTTTAGCATGTGTACGTGATATAGTAGTTTTAATAGTTACTTTTTAAAACCCTGGTTTCAGGAATTTAAACTCTGCTTGTTTAAAATGGCAATGAACTGAAACTTCACTTACATATTATCAGGCCAAATAGTTATTTTTATTTCATAATAATAAAGACTTTAGACTTTCAGGTGCTATTTTATGATGTTTTAGCTAAATCATAGCAATTTTTTTATTCATCTAAATTTGACAAAAATATACAGACCTAAGCCAGTATTCATTTATATAATTTGTTTCATAATTTACTGAACACACACTATGTTTGTGCCCCATGCCAGGCTCTTGGTACTGTTCAGGAAATGAAATAGTAACTTGCTAGTATTTGGTGACGCATTCATACCCCTATTGCTATTCCTGACTTGGCTTTTACTGAGGCTACAGTGCTGTTTCTTTCTCTCCAAGCTGCCCAACAGCAACAAAAGTTGCTAGCTGTCTTACATAAAGGCACATTTATGGGCATATTCCAGAACACAGAGAATCATAAAATGTATGGTAAACAGAATATAAACACAACTGGCCAACTGCTACAAAAAAACTTAGGGAGCTAATCTCTAACCTAAATTCCGTAGAATAGTGGTTGAAATGTGAGAACTTTGTGTTTGGACTTGACAGCTGCATGTTGTCTTTCCTTGGTATAGAAATGTGTGATCTTCTGTTTGACGTATCACTTGTTTACAAATTAATAGATTACACAATTCAGTCCCTGGTATCATGCGTGTAGTGTAATTTGACAGCACATTACAGTATTTCAGGGCATGTATTTCTGTTGCACAACCACATTTCATTTGATTAACTTTTTTTATTTTTAGAAAACAAATTTCATGTTAGAAATAAAAACAATTCAAACAAGCACAGTAGTTTCCTCAATTAGTGTTACAAAGGGAGGTGTTAGATGAACTTACAGACTTTTATGTTGAGAATTGCATTTGAAATCCCCATCCTTTCAGAAGTCGTCAACATTTCTCCTGTATCTCAGTATATGCTCAGATATTTCCAACCTGTGAGTACTATATTTTACTGCGTTGTATTAATTTTAGTCTGTAGAAGCTCCATAGCACAGGAGAAACGTGTATTTCTAAGTCTAAAAGATTAGAGACTAGGCCAGAATTATAGATAGGATGCTAACCTCCTTTACTGTACATGCCCTTATTAAAGAAAGATCTTCTTAAACTACCTTTCAGTCTTGTTCTTTGATTATTGAACTATTCAAGGATGCACTGGTGCCCCACCAGAACTGCTATTGCTGCTTTGCAGTTCTCTGTTTAAATGCACACTAAATTCTGGCAATGGAGCAACTACCCCTACATCAGTGGTTCTGAATCTGCGGCCTGCGGGCCAATTTCAGCCCAGTCAGCACAGAGCTGCAACCCTTGTGACATCCTCAGGGCCATACAGGTAGTATTGGATGCAGCCCACAATGGTAAATAGGTTGAGAACCACTGCCCTAAATGAATCTTTTTGTCTGGAAGATGGAAATGTGCTGCTGTGAATAGCACATTGAACTGGGATGAAGGTGCATTTTGATTATATTTTCTGATTTGGATAGAGCCAAAGTGGTAGAATTGTTCATAACCTTGAACAAAATGTTATGGTGGTTCTTTCAAAAGTTGACAACTGAACATTCACTTAATACAGCTTTGAAACTTTTCTATGCAGTAGAAAAATGCTGCTTTTTTAACCATCTAAATTTAAATGAAACAAGCATAGAAAGTTTCCTTACCTTATCAATTTTTTTAACGTTCCTTTTATTTTTTAAGTAGTTTACTGTGCTGTATTCGCTTTTTTGTTTTTTTTTGGCTCTGCTGCTGCCTGATTGCGTACTCCCGGTTCCAAATGAGGTGTGATTGACGAGTCAGTAACTCTGTTGTTTGCAAGTCTGAGGTTCTACTGTATTATCTCTTCTATGTGAAATTCACTTATTTTTTCCAAAGCAAAAACATACAGCAAGTTTTAATGCAGTGGTTCTCATCTGATTACTCATTGTGGGCCACAGGGGCCAGGTGGCAGGGCAGTGACTGCCCTGGAGCTTGTGGGGCCAGGTGGCTGCCTCCAACCTCTGCCATGGGGGGTGGGCTGGCTGCTCATCCTGGACCCCCTCTGCACAGCTGCCCCAGACCCTGCCATGCGGGGTGGGGACAGCTGCCCTGCATCCTGCCACATGAGGCTGGAGTTTGCAGGGCCGTGTGGCTGCCCTGACTCCGGAACCCCACCAGGTGGCTGACCCGGGCCCAAGAGCTCATGGGCCCTGCTGGCTGCCTCAGACTCCAGAGCTTGTGGGTTCGCCAGAAGCACCAGGCCCCAACCCCATGGGGCTGGCCAGGAGCCCCTGACCCCACGGGTCCACCAGCAGCCCCAACCCCTCCCCCGCTGCACTGGGCGGCAGGGCAGCCCAGCTGGACCCCTCCGCATGTGGCAGCTGGAAACCCACTGGACCTTGGCCATGTGCTCTGGCCTTTAGCACACAGCTGAGCTGGGCTGCAGCTATGTGCTAATTGGGCTGCGTGCAGCCCACAGTTGAGAACCGCTGTTTTAACTGTTCACTAACTTTTCTGAGGTTTTACACTTGAATTACTAAGTTTTAAGACTACTTTTTACCCACTACATTAAGACTATATTTTATAATACATTGTTTTGACAATATACTGTAATACAAAATATTGTGTAGTCCATTATGAAATTCTAGCTAAGAGATTGTTTTAGAAATAGCACCCTACCAAATTCATGGTCCATTTTGGTCAATTTCAGTCATAGGATATTAAAAATTGTAAATTTCATGATTACAGCTCTTTAAATCTGAAATTTCATGGTGTTGTAATTGTAGAGGTCTTGACCCAAAAAGGAATTGTGGGTGGGCCGCAAGGTTATTCTAGGGGAGGTTGCGGTACTGCTACTCTTCTGTGCCGCTGTTGGCATCAGTGCTGCCTTCAGAGCTGGGTAGCTGGAGAGCAATGGCTGCTGGCCAGGAGCCTAGCTCTGAAGGCAGAGCCACTGTCAGCAGCAGCACAGAAGTAAGGATGGCATGGGTTTGCCACCCTTACTTCTGCACTACTGCTGGTAGGGTGCTGACTTCAGAGCTAGGCGCCCGACCAACAGCTGCCACTCTCCGGCCACCCAGCTCTGAAGGCAGCACAGAAGTGAGAGTGGCAATATCACGACCCCCTAAAATAACCTTGTGACCCCCCCTGCAACTTCCTTTTGGGTCAGGACCCCCAATTTGAGAAACGCTGGTTTCCCCCATATAATCTGTGTAATACAGGGTAAAAGCACACACAAGACCAGATTTCACGGGGGAGGCCAGATTTCACTGTTTGTGACGCATTTTTCATGGCCGTGAATTTGGTAGGGCCCTATTTATAAAACAATGTCTAGGCAGTATTTCATATTTTGAACAGCCACAATATTGCACAATAGGATAATAAACTCAAGTACAGTGCAGCCTCTTGCAAATAAACAACCGAGGTAGAACACAAAACTTGCAGTGATTCTGGGTAAGAATGTGGTATTTGAAGTCTGCGAAAGTAAGATTTTCAGAAACTTGTTTATGATGAGGTACAGATGTAGGAATCATGTATGTATAGGAATGAATTTATGTTGCTGATGTCTGCACTATATCTAAATATATAAATTGAATTGAAAATGGACTGTTCAGCTTTCAAATTTTCTTTCTATATTCCTGGATTATTTTAGAGTTAAAATGCAAAGGCAACATTTGTGAGCAATATATATATGGTCTCTGGGGTAATTAGTTACATAAAGCAGCAGTACCACTATTATTAATTCTCAGATTTCCTATTCATAGCAAAATACTTAAGGTTATGGACTTTAGCTCTGAAGTTCCACAATAATGGTTGTATCGACTACTCAGTATATTTACCCATCACTAATTTCTGAAGTGATTTAGACTGGCAATACTTTGTCAGTCAGTGATTGCAAACAGCATTTAGCAAAACTGAAAACATTCTTGCTTAGATATTCAGGATACAAAGGCCAGATTTTCAAAAGGACTCTTCAGCCAGCATCTTCCTTTTACACAACTAACTAAAGTAGCCAGATTTTCAAAGTCCACAGCTCCCTTTAACAGCAAAGAAAGCTGCTGCGTTCTAAGCATTTCTGAAAATCCTAGTCACTTAATTTGGGTTTCTATTAGAAGCAGAGTTCTTTTGAAAATCTAGCCCCAGTTGGGCATACCGAGCATTCTGGAAAATTGATCCTTATATATTTGCAATGTAAAAGTTACAAGAAATGTTCTGCTCCACAAAACTGTCTGCACCAACATTAGCTTCTGATATGATTGGTTTATTTTGTTTGCCTAAATTAAATCCTAATCCTGCAACACTTGCTCATGCAAGTAATTATTTATGCAAGCAATTTCGCTGAATATTGATGTCAGTGGGTATTTTGTATGAGTAAGTAGTCCAGAATAAGGAGGGAATCTCTATTTAAAAGTTTTATTATCTCCATCCATTCTTTATTTTTTTTATTTTATGTATTATTAAAAAACCTCTTTCTGGTTATCAGAAGTTACCAAAGATACTTCCAAAGTAAAAAGAATGCATTTCTGTTAAGGAGATGTAAATGAATTATGTTGACATGTTAATCAGTGTTTAATCTACATGGTTCAAAAAGCTCTAGTGAACATAATAAATTAACAATGGTTAATATTTGTTCCTCTTCCTCCCCTTTGGCAAAGCTCATGTGACTTGTTCATTTTAGATTACCCTGTTAAAGTCAGGGTACATTTCTTTGTAGTTAAGTATATTATTTATTTGTAGGGCAATAGCACGCAAGCCCCAGTCAGAATTGGGGTCATACTGTGCTAAGATATATAGAAACTCAAAAATTGATTTGTTGTTTATCTGAAATATAAATATACTACAAAAACAACTTGAAGCTACATCCATTTTGAGGGTACAAGTGCTTAAAAGAAGGAAATGGCTAAAATATGGTGTGATAAGTGATTGCACTTAGGATTTTTTTGTGCCAAGACTTATGGAACAACTGACATCAGGGAGTCTCCAGTTAGCTAGGCAATGTGCATATTTATTTTGGAGTTAACAGCAATTACACTAAACTATTTAATGACTTAACAACATGATATTTTTCCTTAAGGACTCATTTTTTATTAACTACAGTGGTACTTTTCACAGCCTGGGAGTCATATCCATGAGGAAATGTTTGCCATGAGAGTTAAGTTTTGACCCTCTTGTGAAATGTTAAGGGTGTGAAATATTTGCTGTGACATTTGGTTTGTTTTTTGTTACAAAAAATTGCTTAGTGGAAGCCTTTCTGAAAACTGTAGATGTCTGGCAAGCTGTATGGTCCAGCAGCTAGGTTGTGGGACTAGGCCTTAAGAGCCCTGGGTTCTAGTCCGGACTTGTCCTAGGAATCAACTGGGTGACCTTGTGCAAGACATTTTTTGCACCTGTTTTCTTGTCTGTAAAATAAAGATATGATCCTTACCTGCTGAGAACTATAGATGAAAAGCGCTATATAAGCTTTATATAAGTGCTAAGTATTATCATTATTATTAGTGGATGTCATCTCAAATTTGTCAGACACTGCCATACTATCCAACAAGTATTGGTAATACTAATAACAAAGAACATTTACTCTTATTTTTTGCCTCAGTTTGTTTAGATCATCATGGATAGGAAATGCTTAAGCCCTTTGAGAGGATTATATATATTATTTTAGGAACTTGAATTTTTTACTGAAACTTGCATTCAATTCCTATGTAATTCATCTATCATTTCCTCTGTGAATTTCTCGGTTTATTTTAGACCCAGTTACCTTAGGGCTTGTGTATAACTGCAATGGCATGACTTTTATTAAAAAGGAAATTAATTTATATGCCTGCATCTGAGGACGCACAATCTTTAGTAATTACAACCATCTGAATTTTTTTCCCACTGTTGAAGACAATCTGCCTTCATTTGAGATAACATTTGTGTCTGGAATAAAGCACATATTGTTTTGTTTTCTAAAGGAGACAGTTTGTTGTATGGTAGATCCTTGAAATTCATGAGGAAAGCTGAGAGTATTGAAATGGCAGATATGTTTCAAAAGTGCAATGAATGTGTTAATTGTGTTGGTATTTTGAACCTCATGATGCACATTCCAGATTAGCAGTACTTTATACCATACTACCATGGGACATCTTAATTTTCAACTCTT